AAAAAAAAAAGGTGCTACAACCGCCCTTTTCAAACTCGGGGCGTGATGTTACCACCTTCTAATGTTATGACTGCCTTTTCGAACTGCGGCCATTTTTTCGTTGCCCATTAGTGTTTTTTTTGCCTTTACAGTTTGAAAGTGTGCTACTACCGCACTTGTTTCAATTTATTTTTTCCATTTTTTTCATGACTGATATGGAGTTGAAAGTCCTATTCCAATCAGACTCGTTCTAAAACACACTTTTCATGCATGTAAACAGCAACGCAGCATACTGGCGACATGCGCACACGCAAAACTCAGAGATATGGCTTTCAGATACGAGTTCACTCTCAATTGGCTATGGCGATGTCGGACAAAATACCCTTACAAGGGTATTTTGCCATGTCTTTGCATTCGGCACGATGGCGGCGTCAGCTACCATGACGTAGCCAGTCTAGAAACAAGAGGGGTGTGCACGCTTGGCGTGACACTGGAAGCGAAATCCTCGACCACTGAGGCCGGGGGGAAAATCGGTAAGAAAATTTCGTTAAGAATGTACGCGCGATATTATGACGCACGCCGTGGTGATTAGGATCAGTAGTAATACCCCTTGACAGAAGAGGTCGAAGGGTCAGTTGGGCTGATGATTGTGTCAGGTAGGTCTATGACACGCACTGAGACTTGGTTCAGTGCCTGTCTCCCCTCCGGTACAGGGTGTTCTAAAAATTTCGGTCTTTGTCTTCCCCTACTCGGCCTCCGAGTCAAGTACGCCGCGTCTACCTCGATATGGTGAGGTACCAGCCTACCTACTACTTGAAAATTGTCCGTCACGCTCAAGGGGTAACGAATCTTTTCCGCTACGTGAGTGTTTTCCCGCCGTAACCTTGGATGTCGCGACCGTAACTAGGCATGTGCCTACCCGCCACCAGAATGTTCTCGTCGCAGCCCTCTAACGGCGCGGCCACGACTAAGTGTCGGGCCTTCGGGCCTATCAATCCACTAAGTACCCTTGTGGTCGATCGCGTACTCAAACTGACGAAAATATGGACGGGCACGCTGACTTGCAAACGTGCACTCTCTCACAGACTAAGAAAGACAAACAACGACGTATACTTATAAGAAGGGGGGCACTTTATCACATCGTGGTAAGAGCTAGCCCAGTAGGTAAAGGTTCGGATTGATATGCAGGAGATATTGGGATTGAATCCGACCTGCCTTCGAGCTAGGTCTTTTGCTAGCAGTAAGGGGCAGGGCCTGCATTTTTTTTCACCCGCCCTCGGTAGGGCGGGGTTCGAACCCACGACCTTACAAGTAGGAGTTAGTAAAGTTAGTTGTTAGTTAGAACCGAGAGTCGTGGGGCTCCGACACTTGGCGAAGTAGGGATGAATTATGGGGTTGAATCCCGTTAAATTCGTTGTTTCAGTTTTGATTTTTCTTTTACTTTTTTTTGTGTGCCCCGAGGTGCCCAAATGAATCACGCCCCGATATTGGGGCGGATTCACCTAGTAAGGAGCCAACCGGCTGCGCCTGGTAGGACTCCGCAGTGGGTACGGGGCTTCAAGCTCGACCTGCTCGGTACTAGTCCGCGCCCTCGAGAAGGCCAGATCACGAGAAAAGGGTAGCGCGCGGAAGGCAGGGCGCAGAAGGAGAAGAACGCGCGAGAAGAAGAAGGAGAAGAAGAAGAAGAAGAAGAAGGAGGAGGAGGAGGAGGAGGAGGAGAAGGGAGTAGGAGGAGAGGGAGGACGGGAAACAGGTTCGTCGCGACAGGGAAGATTGTTGTAATTTTCGATCTTGGAAGAGGAATGCCCAGTAAGCGCGAATCATCGGCTCGCGCTGGTAACGTCCCTGTCTTTTGCACACACCTACGTTGCACCTACCGATTGAATGTTTCGGTGAAGTGTATGGATGGTGGTGACCTCGGCGGTTACTGCAGAGAGCACTGAAGAAGGTTCGTGGAACCTTATCGTTTAGAGAAAGAGCGAGGAAAGAGAAGGCGAAAAGAGGGAGAAAGGGGGGAGAGAGAAGAAGGAAGAAGGAGAGAGGGAAGGGAGAGAAGGAGGAAGAGAAGAAGAGAAAGGTGGGAAAAACGCTTACCTGAGCTGGTCATCGGACAGCGACGACAACGGTGGGTCGAACGACGACGACAGCGACTCCAACAAAGACGGTGACAACGACAAGGAGCGGGAGGAAAGAACGGGTAAGTCCCGTCCCACGCAACCAATCCCGATACTCCCATCGAATAGAAAAAAAATAATAATAATAATATTATAAGTAATAATAATAAGATTGAATAAATAAATAAATGAATAAATAGATAAAACCAATGAATCTGCCACTAAATGTGGAAAGATTCACTTCGCTCTGGTGTGTATGAGCGTGTGTGTGTATGAAAAAGGACATAGAGAGTCCTTCTTCTTCCTCCTCTCAGTCCACCTTCTTCTTCTCACCCTCTCATCACCTGACTTCTCAGTATCAACAGATTACGACAGAGAGAGAGAGAGAGAGCTGTGACTTGAGACTTGACGACGTTGGATCCAGACTCGACAATAGGATTCAGACATTTTGACGAGGGACTATTTGGGCCTGTGCCGAAAAATTGGTGTTGACGACATTCCCATCTTCCCCTCTTCTTCGTCTAACCTCCCTCTTCCTCGTCTGGGTATGGTCGGGGTTGGCGCAGTCTTCCTGTGTAAGGCGCTAGACCACTTTACACCATGGAATGATGATGATGACGTATGATTCGGGGCTGCATTGCAATATTGATTGTTCGGATCATCGGTACCTAAGTCTTCCACTACGCTATCTCGTACTTCGTACGAGAGGTCGGTTCTCGATCCGGTCTGCACCGATACAGTAGGCGACGGGGGTGCGCGTGGGTGTGAGGGAGAGAAGGAGAGAGAAAGAGGGAGAGAGATGGAGATCAAAGAAGGAGAGAAGGAGAGAGAGGGAGAGAGAGCATATAAGCCTCCTACCCGCTCCTAGCCGCACGCTACCTTGATCGATAGAACGAGCAAATCAAAAGGTGGCAGTGTATACTTCCACGTTTCAGCGGAAGATTCATTCCGTTTTGCTCATCCTATCGATGGGATGGGTGTGTATGAGACGTTCATGATTCGACCGGGGCGAGATAAAATAGTAAACGATGAGTCCCCAACCATGGCCAATAGCTAAGTATCCGCCCCTCGCTGCACGTCA